CGGCCTTTTTTTCTCCTTTCTGTGCATCTGTTGCAATTTTATTTACACATGCATGGTGCTTGCTTTCTCGATAATATTGGAACGCCTTTTTCTCTTCCTTCAGTGATGGCTGCACTTTCTCGCATTTTGAACGACGGTGCGACACTTGGGAGTGCAATCATCCTATCATAGTCTGGTATCAACCCTTGCAATGAGCGTCGCTGTTTATTGTTTGCGTGCAAACACTTACTACTTCTTCACTGAAAGTGTATTGTGAAGTTGCAACATCCAGATCTGTTTCGTTGATCTCCGCTTTTCGCTTCCTTGATGTTCGACCTAGAGGCGAAGTGCGTGAAGCAGGATCTTTGCTAGGCTTCAATGCACATGAAATCAAATAGGAAGGATAGTCTTGGAAAAGACTAGGGATGGAGTCGGGAATAAGTTTGGTGATGAGGAACGCAAGCACATAGTCTGCATCACGCCAGTGTCTGCTGCATGCGACTGTCGATGCAGACTTGTCATTGATGATGAAGTTTCTCGCTATATTATTTTGTAACTTGACGCACAGCTCAGTATTGTTTGCGAATCAGAAGAAACACCGGGTGTTTTCCCCGAACGGAACTCGCAAAACGGAACATAGCAATACACCTTTACACAGCTAATATATATCCATGTGCGTAATGCACGTACTAAAGGTTGTGCGACTGCCTTCTCGAATCGAGAAACCACTGTAGACTTAACACTGACAAAGCACCAAATGAAATACAGCAGTGGTGGGTAAATCCCAAAATAATGCAAGCCACAATAGAGACAACAACCTGCTTGTAGCACTAAGCCAAAAGAAAGTTCACACACTGTTTTTAGAAAAAAAAAAAACTGAATGATTAGCCGAATAGTTGTAATGTTGTCAGTTTCTGTTTCTAAGGGTGTATTTCTATGACGAACTCGAAGGATACCGCAAAACTGATTTGCACTAGATTTTTTTAGTTCCGGGAAGGCGGGCTTGCGAGCCTAAGCAGCTGCGCACTTCGTTCACGTTCTTCATGAATGTGGCTTACAATACAAAGGAATGCAAAAGGGCTTCGGGTCTCCTGAATCAATATTTCCAGATGATGCTACAAAAGTAACCTCATAGTGTTGCTTTTGTGCCAAGGAAGAGCCTATTTTGAAATAAAATCATGTCTTAGTGGTCCGCATCGGGTTAGCGCACTTCAAATTGCCCTCCTCAAGAATCCGACCGAGGGGACAGACTCAGGTCACTGTTGCCATGCACAACGTTGCCCGGCTTTACTACGCTAGCAGCAGCAGACCGAAAGCAGGGGAACTACATCAGCAACAACGGCCATTGATCAATTTCATACCATCGGCTCCGAGACTGCAGATGTTTTTTTATGCAACTGCACCCCACTAGATGGCACCACATGTCCAGTGTAACTACGCGAAAATTTAATTTTAGAACCAATCGCACCATTTCCCATAGTAACATCCGGCGGTTCTTTTTTCCATGAATCAAACAAATGAACACAGAATGAGCATTTCATTAGCGTCTCTTGATACACGAAAGGTTATTTAATGCACCTAGATCGACTACTAGTGATTAATTCTAGGCGGTCTGTCTGATGTCATTGGCATCATTTTGACAATGTCCTACTGTGGCACATGTGTTCTTGTGCATTTACCTCAATTTATCAGTAAGTAGGGCACTCTTGTTGATAAAATTACAATGAAGATGCCAGAGCCTACGGGGCGCAGAAGAAGAAGACTAGTGAAACAGTGCTTGGACTGTGTGGTTGGGTGAACCGCACTAGGCCTGTCTCAGAAGTATGCTGCTTTTTCCCAAGGACATTTCACCTCATCTGTAAATAAACACAATTACTTTAATCGTAACAGTTTGGTGGAACATGCCGGGTACATCGGTCTGGACGACCCAGCTCTATCGATTTTGCGACGAAGCAGGCGCTTGGCAGGCTTGCCACCGCAGCTATGAGACATGGAGGACGCAGGAGCAGGCCATAACGACCTCGTTGCTGATGAACAACACGCTCACCCGCCAGGACCAGCTCGCTGCAGCACGCCGGAACGTCAACCAAGGACCTTTTCGGGGCAGCCGAATGACGATGTTGACGATTGGCTCAAGCACTACCAAAGAGTGAACTGCTGAGCAGCTCGAGAATGCGGCGTTTTTTCTCGTTGGCACCGCGCCTCTTTGGTTCGACAACCACGAGAGTGCATGGACCGCATGGGACATTTTTGTGGACAAGCTGAAGAGGTGTTTTAGTGACTCAACAGCTAAGGTCAAGCAGGCGGAGCAAACGCTCTCACGCAGAGCTCAGTTATTTGGCGAAACATGCACCACCTACATCGAGGCCGTCTTGAAGCTTTGCGGAATCGTGAGTGCGACCATGTCTGACGAAGATAAGGTAGGTCACCTGCTCAACGGAATCACGAAAGACGTGTACAATTTTCTTATCACTAAGGAAGACCTACACACACCTTCCGACCTAAGGAGACACTGCCGAGCGTTTGAAGCGCTAAAGAGGAGGAGAGTCCTACCGAAATATAGACGTCATGACAATGTGCCAACGATTGCAAGTGTGAACCCTCCATCGCAGGACGAGATCTCCTATAAGACGAGTGGTTAAGGAAGAACTAGCTCACCTGCAAGCTGTGGGCACCGCCGGTGTCTGCCAGCAGTGTGCATTCGACCAACGGCCCCGTGAACCACCGGTACCTCGGATGCGTCAGAGCTACTTTGAGCGTCCACCGACTAGAGCAGAGAAGAACTACACCGTCACCGAGCTCGAGTGCTTAGCAGTCATCTCCGCCATTCAGAAGTTCCGACCGTATCTACATGGCCGTGAGTTCACAACAGTGACCGATAATCACTCAGTATGCTGGGTTGTGGGACTTCGCGACCAATCTGGCCGGCTGGCTCGCGCATTGCACCTCCAAGAGTACAGCTTTTCTGTGACCTAAAAGAGCAGACGATGTCACACAGATGCCGACTGCTTATCGCGCCTTTTTTCAGTACACACCAATGCTGACAACGACGACATTGATGACTATTTAGTTTTTGTCTCGTCCGACTTCCCATCGCTGAATCGCCGATTTGCTTCAGCCATGCAGCGCGCAGGGCCCATCGTGAGGCACCCGGTGCCGACGCTTCTCCGCTGCCCAGTCGCTCGATTTGTAGCCAACGACAGAGCAACACTTTTTACCCGTGTTGCTTATGTCAAGGCAAAGGACGTTGGTATGTGCGCACAGGCGCAGTAGTTGAAAGAGGAGTGTAAAACTACTGAGGAGTGTTGTGATGTTAACGAGGAGATGAAACTTGACAAGCGATTGAGAGAAATGGGGGAGGAGCGTTGGGCTAGGAAGGTATTCAGCTACTTGTACATGAAGAATTTCGATACAAAATGGAGGAAGAGAACCAGGAAGTTGACTGGTAAATACTTAGAAAACAGCAGGTGGCCAAACCAAAAACTATCGGTTAAGAATAAAGTGAAGGAAACAAAACGGAGACTGACATGTGGAGAATTGGCAAGATTAAGAACTCCGCACTGGGGATCTACCGAGCTTTGAAGCAGGAAATTGCCAAGGAAAGAATCTATGATAATACTCGGGGTAGTTCTCTACTGTTTGAGGCCAGGACGGGAGTATTGCAAACCAAGACATATCGGGCCAAATACGGAGGGGTAGACACAGAATGCAGTGCGTGTGGAGAGGAAGAAGAAACTGCCGAACACTTAATGTTCTGTAACGGGCTTCACCCTATAGTTCAGGATGATGGTGCTGAGTTTTTCAAAGCACTGGGGTTTAGGGACTGAGAGGGCAAAACAGACTAAGCTTGTAGACTTAAGTAGAAGGAGGTTATCTGATTGATGGCTAAAGTCAAGGCACGAGTGAAAATTAAACCCTCCACTGCAAAGTACCCGTCCAACTTTACTATTTAAAGGGAAAAAAAAAGATAAACCTAGTGGTTAGTTCAAGTAGTACGGCTAGGTGGTGTTAGCCGCCGCCCGATCCAAAGGGTACAGCCACATACATCCATCCATCTGGGCGCTCTGAGATCGTCGATGTATTCGGTTGGTACACTGCCTCTCACGCTCCGATCGCGAGCTGCCTCTGCATCTGGCGACTCTGAGCCAGAGGCCCAGAGCGGCCCATCAAATACGCCATTACGCAGAAACTCTTCCATTGTACTCACGACGGGTGAGAAGGCCGTAAGGAAAGAAGCACAAAGGGTAATTTTGAGACCTCAAACAGAACGGAACAAAACGGCGACACTGGCTCGGTCTCTGCTCATCATCTCGCCAGAGCTTTGACAGCTCTGACACGCCAGATCCAGACTCTGGACCTCACACACACACACCAGCGCACCCCGAGCAGTTTTCTCTCGCTGGGCTTGGAAATTCATCGTCAGAATGCGGGGCTCAAGCCTGTCTAAACCCTAAAGATTTCAGCCATGGAAGGTGCAACCGCATCAAGCAGCTTACTTGAGGAGGCTTCAGAAATTCCGTTCAACGTGAAAGACTGCATGCGCCTCGTTCCAGCTCAGCTTTATACATGTGAACCACTCCTTAGCGCATTGTTACCACTGTGAACGTGACAAGAGTGCAGAGAGCCGCCGAGTAAAAACAACCCAAGTTTTCCAACTCTCTTTTAACGCAGTACTCGCCTAGAGTTCGACCGCAATGGCGTCAAACACAGCGTACGGTCTTCCTTCGTTATCGGCGTGCGACTACGGGGCTCAACTTTAGCGACTTGTTTCCGGCAAGAGTTCCGCGCGGCTCGCTACAAATAGGCATCGATTCTCACTTCTGACATGGGTTCTGCCGAGCTTATTCGGCGGCAACTCGCCGAGCACGCCACGAGGTGGGTTGTGCGAGGCACGAACCCACGAGGACCGGCACGCCGACTACACGTGGTTTTAGGGCTAGTCGGAAGCAACAGTAGAAGCTGCAGAGAGGCGCCGATAGTTAAACAAGCGAACGAAACCGCTTCTCGCTGCATTTACTTACGGTTTGCAAAACTGTGCGACGAAATGTCCAACGGTCGAGTCTGCGATCGTCTGCAGCGTGCCGTACTCCACGCTGGTTGTGTTGCTCTTTGGCCAATGTTGGATACGACGCCACAGAACACCTACCAGATAAGCGAGCGGTTAAAAGGTGGCCCCGCAACTGCATGCTCTGTTTCTCTAAATGGCGATATTTAAATTATGCTAAGTTACACTGTTATGGAACAATTTACCCATTCAATCAAAAAGCCTCAGTAGCGCGATGAAAATAATTTGTGCAACTTTTGCCAACTCATGAACAATATGACAACTTTAATAAACTGTTCCGTTATGGGGCCAACATGTTCTAGAAATTACGACGGGTAAATGTGCAGTGTTATTTCAAAAAAAAGTACCACAAATAAACAATATATTGTGCAAAATATTGCTTTCAAATACACGTGTAACTTCTCAGAAAGCGTATTTTGTATTTTTTTTAAATTTCTTGTGCTGTCTGCTGCAGTGCGCATGCGCTGTCGCGTCACTGAAAACCATGTGCTCGTCCATGACCTACTACACTCCTGACCTGTTCAGATAGCGGGGTTCCTATGGGAGCGCGTGTCCCCGCTCTCGTTCAATCGCTCGCCGTAGGTGGCGCTACCTATAACCTGTTCGTCTGCTACTTTACGGCTGTTTGGACGGCGCTAGAGTAAGAACGGCTGCATTCCGTGATGAACAGCCGGCATATATGTGACTATTTTTTCACTTAGATGACTGGTCAAGTAAGCTGTTCAGTGTGACGAAAAATTTATTGCACACTGGTGGACAAATGCGAGAATCCGTAGACTTACATAGTGTAGGACAGCATATGTGATGTTGCGTCCATTTAATTGCAAAGAATTTGTGAATGACTTTTGAAATATTTGTTTCAAAATTATTTTTCATTAGTGCATAATAATTACGCAATATGAGTGCTCTGTTGGCCGAAATATGACCACGAACACTCAAGCTGACGTCAGCGAACAGGTGCTGACTAGCGCCACAGTGCTCCTAAGTTACGGCCCTAGCGGCAGAAGGTATGAACTAGAACGTGGGCGCTGGAAGAGGTGCTCTCTGGGCAGGTCAGGAGTGTAGTAGGTCATGTGCTCGTCCGTGCCGTCCTTCCGCCACCACACGCCAGATTGCCGCCGTTAGGTTTACCACGCCGTCTTCTCGAAGCTTCTCGGGTCGTCATCATGGTGAGTTGTTGTTTTTCTTCTTCTCTCGGCAGTCCATTCACGCGTGCCTCTCCATCGCAGGCCGGTGTGGGCAAGCGCCTGATCCCACTGCTGGACCGCATCCTCGTGGAGCGCTTCGTGCCGGAGGCGAAAACCAAGGGCGGCATCATGATCCCGGAGAAGGCGCAGGCCAAGGTGCACAGCGCCACGGTCGTCGCCGTCGGTGCCGGGGCGCGCACCGAGGTGAATTTCTCCTCGGCTCGACCCGTGAAAGGGTCTGTGTCGGCGCTGTATTCACTCCGTGGCCGCGAAACCGTGCCGCTCTTCGGAAGAGTGCAAGAAGTCCCATGGTGGCCGAGCTATGAAGCCCCCGGCATTTGCATAGGCATGATCTGAAGGTTGGCTCTGCGGCGGGCGTCGCACTCGCATGTCGCGGTCTCGGCACGTAAAAGTCTCCCCTAGTGCTGCGAGCTATTCGATCGCTCGGGGCGAATGGCGGCATGAAAACGCGTTTTCGCACTGAAATGAGCTACACAAGGTCAAGTCAAAAGAACAGTAATTTTTGGGCTCGTTGGTCCGTTACGTTCAATGAAGCCGCAACGCACGTGCCATTCGATTTCGGTGGTCTTGTCAGCGCTTCGTTGAGTGGTTCAAGTCGGAGCAATGCCTCCTAGGAGGCGTTGGCCAAAGCTGCAAGTGACGCCCTTTTTTGTCGCCTTCCCTTTTTTTTCGTCTATGTGGGTCGCGACCTTAACGTTTCTTGATAATGAGGATGTTGGTAATCCCATATCTGAAATTCTTACTTCAGTTGTAACTCGAGTAAACGACCATCCTAGAAAGTATTTCGCTAAGTTGAAAGTTTCTATGATTGAGCAATGCTTTATCATGAGTCCTTTGAGTGTAATGTGACAATACCTAAAAGTTACTATTGTGTTATATGCAGTAGTAATGATGCGGTTAGTGCGATGGTATTTTCGAATAACCGCACCTGCATGTTGGAGATGCCTGTGAGGGCAGCATGTGCATGGAATGTCCAGGAAATTTGTCAATTGTAGCTGCGACACACTGCCAGTGTGCGAAAATAGAGAAAAAAAAGTTACAGCGATAGTACAAGCTGGCTGAGCAAAAAAGTCTCAAAGGTCCTGCAATTTAAGGGATGTAACGCTCATGACATTAAATCTTAACATTGGAAGTTAAAGGGACACTAAAGCCAACTATTAAGTCGACGTCGATTGCTGAAATGGCAGTCCAGAAACCTTGTAGTGTTACTTTCGTGCCAAGGAAGGACCTATTTTGAAATAAAATCGCATTTTAGTGCTCCGCATTGAGATTGAAGTGCGCAGTGCGCGCACTTCAAATTGCTCGCCTCAAGGAGCGGACTGACCAGACCGTATCACGTTACTTTTGCTGTGCACAACATTGCTCGGGTTTACTTTACTAGCAGCAGCAGACCGAAAGCAGCGGGAGCTACAGCAGCAACAACGGCCATCGATCAATTTCCCGCTATAGGCTCCGAGACTGCAGACATTTTTTTTATTCAACTGCAACCCACTAGACGGCACCAACTGTCCAGTGTAACTTCGCGAAAATTGGAATCATTTTGAAAATGACCTATTGCGGTGCTTGTGTTCTTGTGCATTCACCTTGATTTCTTGGTAAGTAGGGCACTGTTGTTGATAATAGTGTCGTTTTAGATATTGTCATGCAATGAGCTTTCACTCTGACGTAAATTATTTGACTTTAATGTCTCTTTAAAGCCATTTTTCGTGCCTATATGGCGCAGGCATACATGGCTTGCACCTACGTCTCTGCTCGGAATGAATCAGCCATATTGGTAGACAGCAGTTACACCTTCTTCAGCGCTACCTTGGCGAGTTTCTTCCTCCACCATGGTGATATGCGCAGCTGTAGGCTATTATAATGTAACGACAGATGCAGTAGAAAGCAGCGAGTTTCCTTCGAATACCAAAGGCTATTGAAAGTGCTCACTGCCTGCCAACCGTCGGAGGACCAAGGTGTGCAATTTTCGACCTAGAAAACGCCATAGTTCATGTGTGCGTGGACCGCACTTTGTAGGCAAGCGAAAAAGAGAGATGTGAAGAACGTGGATTCTCTTGTGTTCATAGGAAAGCTTTCAGTGTTGTTAGATGACAGGAACCTGGACTGGGCACCATCTCCACAATTGGCTACAGCTTTGAGCGTGAAGAGTCGCTGTATATGCTACCGTTGTGAGCATATAGGGGAGGGGGTATGCACTTGAGTTCATTCATGAGGATTGCTAGCGCCGAAGCCGCCATTTTATGGGTCCGCACGCTCAAAAGTCTTGATGCACGCGCTGTGTCTAAGATCTATACGGCAACTTGGATGTTTAGAGACCTTCGGGACACTGTCTGCATGCCGAAGCACAGACAGCAGGACGACGAGTAGAACGGACCATCAAAATTAACGGCAATTAACGACTGCTTTGTGCCAACCAGCGGCGTAATGCACAAAAGTCTGCCTGTAAAAACGAAGTGACCGTGGCACTAAACAATGTACTAAAAGTAGTTGGGAGAGGTGGGTAAGTTGGTTCGAGGACGTTCTTTTCGGCACGCACACGTGGTATGGGAAAGCGACGGGCACCTGTTTCTCTTGTTAGCTTTCGTTTTCCCGTCCACTGTGTGTGCGCCAAAATGTTTCCAAAGGTGGCACTGCAGTTGTATTGCTGGTCTGTGGAGCTGTTCATCAATATGGCTGCCGCAGTAGGACCACAGCAACGGTGATGTCACATGCAAGCCGTGTATTAGCAAAATCCAACTGTTAAGTTTTGTCGTTCTATAGATGTTTTAATGTAATAGTGTTACAGTTACAAGAATGCTTATGAAGCCACTGATCCAGGAATCCTTTCGTTGTTTCACCGTCATGTTGCGCAAGGCGGATGACGCAAGTGCAGGCTCGAGGAAAGAGCGGCAAACACCGTCATCCGATATGGGTGAGCGAGAAAGGGCGTCAGCGTCTGTTTGCTTACTATTGGATCTGTGAATAACGCGGTTGTTGTACTCTTGAAGTTTGAGTGCCCAGCGAGCAAGTTGTCCGAAAGGGTCCTTGAGTGTAAATAGCCTACAAAGGGCGTAGTGGTCAGTGACGATGACAAATGCGTGACCATATAGGTAGGGGCGAAATTTTCCTAGGGCCAAATAATAGCTAAACACTTTCTCGGTCACGGAGTAGTTAGTCTCGGCTTTCATCAGAGTTCGGCTTGCGGAGGCGACGATATATTCATCAAACCCTGCCTTTCGTTGTGCGAGCACAGCGCCAAGACCAACACCGCTGGAATCGGTATTAACCTCCGTGGGGGCGACAGGAATCGTAGGGGCGGAGAATGGGTGGTGAAGTTAGCAGGCGACGTAATTTGGTGAACGCATTGTCGCATGCTGTTGACCAGGTGGAAAGGTCCCTGTTGCCGCTAATCCGTAAAGGGCGCACATATGGAAGCAAAATTTCAAATAAAGCGTTGGAAGTATGACAAGCCGACAAAACTTCCAAGTTCCTTTAGGTTCTTTGGCTTTGGAAAATCGGTGACTGCTCGAAGTTGGGCAGGGTCGGGAAGTATGCCGTCCCACGATACGACGTGGCCAAGAATGGTGAGCTGCCGGGCACCAAAACGACACTTCTTGAGGTTGAGTTGAAGGCCGGCGTCGGATGAGGCGCGTGAGGACGTGCTCGAGACAATTCAAATGGGTGTCGAAATCAGTGGAAATAACTACGTCATTGAGGTAGCATAAACATGTGTTTCACTTGAGGCCTCGTAAAATAGTGTCCATCATTCTCTCAAAAGTGGCTGGAGCATTACAAAGGCCAAAGGCATAACGGTAAATTCATATAATCCATCGGGTGTGACAAATGCTGTTTTTGGTCGGTCAGGTGCTTTCATAGGAACTTGGCAGAATGCAGAACGTATATCCAGCGAAGAGAAGTATTCTGCTTCCTGCAAACAGTCAAGGGCGTGGTCTATTCGCGGTAATAGATAAACGTCCTTACGGGTGATCTTGTTTAAGCATCGGTAGTCGACACAAAACCGAATCGAGCCCTCTTTCTTCTTAACAAGAACTACCGGTGACGCCCAGGGGCTGTTAGAAGGCTGTACAATACTACGCTGGAGCATGTCAGCAACCTGGTCGTCAATAACACAGCGCTCCTATGCTGAGACTCCGTAGGGACGTTGCCGTAGAGGTGTATGGCTTCCTGTGTCAATCTTGTGAGATATATTTCTTGTGCGACTGAGGCCAGAAGCCCGGCTGTCAAAAGAAGAGCAAAACTTTTGCAGCTGGTTGACTAACTGGCTTTGTTCTGAAAAAGACGTTGCGACATCGATGGAGCAGTGAAAAGCATCAAGGAGTGACTGGTCAACAACAGGGTCAGAAATGAGTGCACTGAGGTCCATTGAAAGTAAACTAGACGAAGCGTGAGAAATGTGACGGGCGTCCATCTTATGCATGTTACTGAGACATTCTCCTTGGAATACAGGTAAAGGCCCTTCTAGCGTGTTGTACACGGGCGTCTTCCTGACGCCATTACGGAGAGTAAGGAGAGCAACGGGCAGTGGAGAACATTTGCGTTGAACAGGGCAGAGGGCGTAAATAGGCCATCACCGTCGCACATAGCGTCGCACGACACAGTCACCAGCAGAGAAGAGCGTGGTGGTACGGTGCTGTCGTCGGAAACGGGCAGTTTATAATACGGTAGGGAGACTTCGACAGCATCAACATCAGGAAGTTGATGACTGCATTATTATTTGCAAGGAAATCCCAGCCGAGTATTATGGCATGGGAACACGAGGGCAGCACTGCGAATTCGAGGATATTGCCACGTTCTATTCCTCAAGCTTTGTTATTGCCCCAATACACTACACAATTCTCAGCGCAAACCACGCCTGCAGTTTTTGAGAAGCTTCGGGACTGTAGTAGATCATTTTGATTAGATCACGCCCACTCCGCGAACTGTACAGATTATTCTGGAACATTCGATAACAAGAGTGTAAATGCCGACGCTCCGTTCACTGCTATTTGTGCAAGACCGCTACTGTAATCAGACTTTCCGTTTACTGGGCAAAGGTTCGCCCAAATAAACAGTTAAATCCCAACATAAGGTCGCCTGTCTTCGGCCACGTTACGACCCCGTGGCATCTAGTGGAGGCGCTGCTTCGCTCATGTACCGGACGCCCCCGTCAAGCCATGAACCCAGCCGACGTCTCGGAGAAGACA